TGTTTGTGTGTTGGTTGGTTTGGGGGTTGGGATTTGGTTGATGGTCTTGTTTGTTTTTGATATGTGACTGTTACCTCATTCTTTCTTTTTATGTTGTTGTTTGTTTGTTTGTTTGTTTTTCCCCTGTCATCGTCTGGTAATGAAAAATGAATAAATAAATAAAAAACAAAAAATATATATCATGATATTTGGTTCCATACCTCGGTTTTTTGAGGACTATAGACTTCCAACAGATTTATAGTCCTCAAAGAACCGAGGTATGGAACCAAATATCATGATATGTGTTAATACACTTTAGAATGTATATACTTTATTATATTTATGATCTATGATATTGAAGAACCTTGATCTATTTTGACATATTATTTGATATTACCAGCTGAAGAAGGCGTTTACTCCGAAACAGGGCCCTGTCCTGGTCACCACTACTGAGTCGTACATCTGATTCACACTCCGGATACTCCTTTTTGGCCCTATTTGATTCTTTATTCTTTATTCTGATTTTATATAATATGGACTCCTTTTGACTGCCATTGAGACTTGTATAAAACAATTGTTGTGTACTGGTATTTTATGTACCTTTATACTATATCACTGCATATTTGAAACTACATTATTTCTGCACTTAAACGTTGTATCTAAATTTACTATTATCTTAAAACTATCGTACTTACATGTTGTGTTTTAATTTACTATTAGCTTCAAACTGTTATTCTTAGCAGAATATATACGTTTTTCTTTTCAACTCTTGAGTAGGAATTATTCCTTGTATTGAAACTTGTGGCCAGAGCTCTTGGTATATCCTTTTCAATGAAATGTGGAAAACATCTTGATGTTTGGGCAAAAACAGAGTGTGCTGGAACGGAACAGCACAAGGAGGCTTGGTACTGGGCTGTACACCTTTGCAAAACATTAAGATAAGATCAGAGTTGTGAGACGATGCCAAGGACAAGGATGAGATGTCGCCAAGAGTAAGGATGTGAGATACCAACAACAAGGAGTTGTGTAAGCATCAGGAGTTGCCATGTGTCAGATGAACAAACAAGATGTATAAATATCAAAGCCCTCCAGCCTCAGGTGTGTGCCGGACATATGACAGCGCTGTCGTCTGCCACCCACGACTCTTACTGGATCTGATCAATCCAGTTGAAGAGTGGTGAGTATAGATGTGTGTGTGGTTGTGTGTGTGGTTGAGTGCATGTTCCCTGTCTTGTTATGTTTGTTAATCAGTAAAGCAATGCTGTAGAAAATCCAATATTGGTTGTCTGAGGTTTACTTGTGCTTTCCTAGAGTGCACTATTGGTCTCATTTATGCTAAACATCAAAACATTAAAAGGACCTATTGGTCACAACACAACACAACACAACACAACACAACACAACACAACACAAAACACATCTCTGCTGCCCACTTGCCTCTTAGTGCCCCCTTTGGAAACCACTGACCATGATTGGAGGATGACAAAGAGAACCCTCTCACACCCCTTCCTTGTCCAAGCGCAACTCAACAGCCCTGCAGTTCTGTCAGTGGGCCAGACTTTTCAGTAGCTGCTGTTGCCACCGTCCCACTTACTCTGGCAGTACTTTTTCGTGGTGGGGGAGTGGGGGTGTCTGTTGTAAATCTACAGTCAATGAATAAGGCCGATGCATAAAACCACTCTGGACTGGGGATGGGCGCTGCGTGAATCTCGGATTGCATTGAAAGGCAAACCTCCCAAGAAACAGACACACTGCAAAATTCACTCTTCTCTGAATTTTGCAACCCAGTTCTCCAGTCAAGAATTGTATCTACTGGGTCTGAGTGCGCATACAAATACATACCTTAGTTCAGATAGCAAACCAACAGGCATTATGTTAGAGGAAATGGCTTTGCAAAAATGTGTATCTTGGGCAAAATCGCTATCAAATTTGTATATTAGGAGAACATTGCACTAAAATGCTGGTGGATTCTCAAGATGGCATTTTTTTTAAAAAAATGTATATAAATAAATAAAAATTCCCAAACTGATGTGGAAATGTGTAGACCTGAATTTTGCAGTGGAAAAATGAGAAATGGAGAGAAACCTGAAACCGACCCAGTGCTTAACACTGGGGGGGGGGTGTCACCAGTTTGCTCCCCTGAATGTTAGCTGTACACCAGGCATCTTAGCTTATTTCTTCGTTTTTCAAGTTGTTTTAAATATCATGCACAGTATTACACAGCAGCAGATAAGAAGTTTCCCTGGATTTAAACAAACTGGTGCAGACAGGCGAGTGATTCCTCCCCAATCTACCCTCGTGGAAAATAAAGAATTTCCTAAGTTCGGAGGTTACTTTGTGGGTCCCTTCATTTCTCTGCTCCTCACCTGGCATCTTCCTGCCGAATAAACTTGGATGATGGCTATGACAGCTGCTGCTCTGGGACAGGTGTGGAGACAGTTTCGGATGCTGATGCTCCTTCCAGGTGAGCTGGTGAGGAGAGCCAGGCAGGAGGTAGTAGGTCAGAGAAGGTGAGGGGAATGAAGAGGATGGGTGGGTTGCAGGATCCCTCCTGTCAGAACGAGAGACACACCTGGCTGCCACTCATTTTCTGCCCAAAGAAAGGTCTCCATTTCCTGCTGACCCAACGCACCGTCCTTCATGCATCCCCACATACCTTAAAACTGACCCAGTGTCCTGTGGGTCCCAGTCTGGAAGATAATATGGCTTTTATTGTTTGAGGAGCCCCTGGAGAACATGCATTTGCATCACAAGGAATGAAGATCAAGGAGTCCAGGGGGAAAAAATCATCTCCCCTCTTGCCCTGGGCTTCCTTTTTTCCTGGCAGAAAACACTGGCATCAAGGGTATGGGGTGGAGCCCAAGGGGGTTGCAAACAGCCGTGTTCAAACGAGACCCTTAGGGACAATTCAGTTTGCAATTAAGGTGATCGTTTCTAATTCACACTTTCTGGAACACAGGCTTTGAAATGTGCACTTGTCCAGATTTTGCAATAATAATAATAATAATAATAATAATAATAATAATAATAATAATATGCCACCCACCTAACTGTGTTGCCTCAGCCACTCTGGGCAGCTCCCAACAAAATAGGAAAAACACAGTAAATGCAGTCAATTAATGTGAGGGGACGCAGGTGGCACTGTGGGTAAAACCTCAGTGCCTAGGACTTGCCGATCGCATGGTCGGTGGTTCGAATCCTCGCGGTGGGGTGAGCTCCTGTCGTTTGGTCCCAGCTCCTGCCCACCTAGCAGTTCGAAAGCACAATTAAGTGCAAGTAGATAAATAGGGACCGCTTACTAGCGGGAAGGTAAACAGCGTTTCCGTGTGCGGCTCTGGCTCGCCAGTGCAGCTTCGTCACGCTGGCCACGTGACCCGGAAGTGTCTGTGGACAGCGCTGGCTCCCGGCCTCTAGAGTGAGATGAGCGTTCATGGCATGTAATGCCTTGAAGGAAAACATTATGAAAATGATATACCGGTGGTACATGACCCCAGTCAAGCTTGCTAAGATATACCATTTGTCTGACAATAAATGTTGGAAATGTAAGGAGGCTGATGGGACATTCTTTCACCTCTGGTGGACCTGCCCAAAAGTGAAGGCCTTCTGGGAAATGATACACAATGAGCTAAAAAAGGTGTTTAGGTATACCTTTCCCAAGAAACCAGAGGCCTTCCTCCTGGGCATGGTGGACCAGAAAGTGTTAAAGAAGGATGGAACTTTGTTTATGTATGCTACTACAGCAGCAAGAATTCTCATTGCAAAGCACTGGAAGACACCAGATTTACCCACGCTGGAAGAATGGCAGACGCAGTTGATGGACTACATGGAACTGGCTGAAATGACTGGCAGAATCCGTGATTTGGGAGAAGAAATAATGGAGGAGGACTGGAAAAAATTTAAGGACTATCTGCAAAAACATTATAAGTTGTATGAATGTTAAGAACGTGTACGATTAGGAAACTTTTGCTTCAGCAACTTGAATAGGTGAATTGGAAATTAAGTTATAAGAAAGATGAGGTAGACAACATGAAGTAACCATACTATGTTTATTTATAGGGTACAAATAACTGAGATACAGTATTTTAAATTTGGAAACATAGTATTTGAAAGATACAGTAAGACATGAAATAAGGTAACAAATTGCTGATGTTATAATTGCAAAGAACGCAGGATTCGGAAGATGTGGGGAAGTCCGATTGGAATTGTTAAAGTATTTTGGAAAGTTGGAGTTTATGCATACTTTCTTTTCTTACTTTTACTTTCTACTTTTTATTCTGTAAATTTCTGAATATCTGAAAGAAAACTTAATAAAATATTAAAAAAAAAATAGAGTGAGATGAGCGCACAACCCTAGAGTCTGTCAAGACTGGCCCGTACGGGCAGGGGTACCTTTACCTTTACCTTAATGTGTGTAAAAATGCATGAATTAGGGCAAAGTAGGAGAAAAGGTGTATTTATTGTTGTTGTTGCTGCTGCTGCTGTTGAATTTATATACTGCCATATACCTGAAGGTCTGAGGACAGTTCACAGAACGTTTTAGGCAGAATCGTGTTGGGAAACTCTATATGAAACAAAATCACATTCAAAATTGACTTTGCACTAAGATACCAGCGATTTTTCAAGAAGATTGAAAAACAACAACTACAGAAACTAACGTGGAAACAAGGAGATCTGAAGTTAATAGAGAAAAATTGAAATATTTCCCATATTGTTCTCAAGGGGCCAAACAGAAACAGGAGCACACAACAAGAATGACCGTTAAAGGATTTGGGGACAGTGTGAGGTTTGAGGCTGGCTCCCCTGGTGACAGTGCGCTGTGTTGAATTTGGCAGCTAAGCAGCTCTTCAGACTGGGAGACAAGGCAGTTGTTGAATTGGGTGTTGGACACAAGACCCAGTGCAGAATCATGACCTAATTCTTTGGAATCTGTCTAGTAATGTATTGCTGAATTAAGTCTAACCAATGGGAATATGGTGTACTTCGACCCCCAAGGAAAATTTCACCAAAGGCAGGAGACCCTGTTAGTGAGGGAGATCAGAGCCCTTCTTCAAGCCCCCCAGAACCTTCCTCAGGGCTTCCTTCACCTCCTTGTTGCGGAGGCTGTAGATGACAGGATTCAACATGGGGATGATGATACAATAGAGAGTGGAGATCAGGGTGTCCACTTCCAAGGAGTAGCCTGCGCTTGGGCGGTTGTAGTTCACGTTGGCCATCCCAAAATAGATGATGACCACAACTATGTGGGCTGCGCAAGTGGAGAAGGCTTTTCGCCTGCCAGTGTTGGAGCGGATCTGAAGGATGGCCGACAGAATGAAGATATAGGAGATGACCACCAGGAGGAAAGTCCCCAGGCTGACAAACACACTTGCTACATGAAGGGCCATCTCGTTGACGTAGGTGTCACTGCAGGCGATTTGCAGAAGAGGAGGGGCATCGCAGAAGATGTGGTGGATCTGGTTGGCCCCACAGAAGGCCAGGTTGGTGGAGAGCACGGTGTGAATGGTGGAGGCCAGGAGGCCACAGGTCCAAGAAGCGGTAGCCAGAGGGACACACACTCTTCTGCTCATCAGGTGAGCATAGCGCAAGGGTTGACAAATGGCGGCATAGCGGTCATAGGCCATGACAGCCAGCAGGGCACACTCAGTTGCAGAAAATATCATCAGGAAGAACATCTGGGCCATGCACTGGTTGTAGGAAATGGTGTGTCTCTGGTGCAAGAAGTTCACCAGGATCTTGGGGATGGTGACAGACGAGTAGCAGATATCTATGAATGCTAAATGGCTGAGGAAAAAGTACATGGGGCTGTGGAGGCGGGAATCTAGCTGGATCAGGGTGAAGATCACCCCATTTCCCACCAGGGTGAAGAGGTAGATGGCCAGGAAGAGCAAGAAGAGGAAGGACTGACCCTTGTGGACCCCAGAGAAACCCAAGAAGATGAATTCAGTCACCACCAGCGTCTGATTGCTGCCTTCCATGGACTGCATCAAGGTCAACTCTGAGAAGAGAACCAGGAAGCGAGAGAGAGTTGGCCAAAGCTGTGTTGGTTATGTGGAATATTTCCTTATTTATGGAACAATCAAGACAAAAAGCCCCACACCAGTTCTTAGGGCAGGGCTTCCCAATCAGAAGGTGCAGCTGCCCAAATGGTTAGGTTACTCTGCACACACATGCAGAGAGAGCTCTCCCCTTTTGATGCTAACTACTATCCTTTGCAGTAGGAGCAATCCTTGATCCAGACATCCTTGGAGGAGATTTGGTCCTTAGGGGGCAGAAGTAACGCTGTACTGGGGAAACACTGAATGGAATACCCTGAACCGACCCCTTAAGCTATACTTGTTGTAAGACAGTGGTGGCCAAACTTGGCCCTCCAGCTGTTTTGGGACTACAATTCCCATCATCCCTGACCACTGGTCCTGTTAGCTAGGGATGATGGGAGTTGTAGTCCCAAAACTGCTGGAAGGCCAAGTTTGGCCACCACTGTTGTAAGACCTCTGAGCAGTTGTGACCACACTCTGTAGAACTCTAGGGGGCACCAAATAGCTGTTTGCTGATTTGAACAAAAAATTTGCATCTCTCTCTCTCTCTCTCTCTCTCTCTCTCTCTCTCTCTCACACACACACACACACACACACACACACTCTGTATCTTTGCAGCGTTCATGCATCCAGCATGTGCATTTTGCTTCCAGAGTTGGATCTCTTAGCATCTCTGTAGCAATTATTGATCAGTCTGATGGGCTGCTGTTCTCAGAATTAAAGTGCTTAGCTCAACTTGCTGCTGTTGTTGTATTTGGGAGATTTGGAAGATTTACTTCAGTAACACTTTCACATATAATGAAATCAACTGGACTGCAAAAATGACTCTACAACAGCCATTGATTTTCTGGATATATACAGTGGTTCCTCGCAAGACGAAAATAATCCGTTCCGCGATTCTCTTCGTCTAGTGGTTTTTTCGTCTTGCGAAGCAACCCCATTAGCGGCTTAGCGGATTAGCACTATTAGCGGTTTAGCGGCTTAGCGGCTATTAAAGGCTTAGCGGCTGAGCTGCTAAAAGGCTATTAGCAGCTTAGCGGCTTAGAAAAAGGGGGGGAAAGCGGGGAAAAAATGGCAAGACTCGCAAGACATTTTCGTCTTGCGAAGCAAGCCCATAGGGAAATTCATTTTGCGAAGCACCTCCAAAACGGAAAACCCTTTCGTCTAGCGGGTTTTCCGTCTTGTGAGGCATTCGTCTTGCGGGGCACCACTGTACATTAGACGCAGGAACAGCACATGGCCTGAACCTAGATCCATGTTTCCCAAAATTATTTGGGTCCCTGTTCCCTTGGTTCCATAACCACATCCCTGTTGTTGTTGTTGTTGTTTAGTCGTTTAGTCGTGTCTGACTCTTCGTGACCCCCTGGACCAGAGCACACCAGGCAATCCTGCCTTCCACTGCCTCCCGCAGTTTGGTCAAACTCATTCTGATCCCCTAATAAAAAGCCTTATTCATAATAGCAGTCTGCATGAACTGCTAACCATGAAATTTGAACCAGTAACATTAGGATCGTGTGTCTAAATGTTCCATTGCACATTGTAGCACCACTTTTCTTTTTTCAAACATTTATTCAAAATGCAATTAAAACTTTTCAGTTTGTTTAATTCAGTTTATGAACTTGATCTGTCAATGCCAGCTTTTCAATGTTTTCTTGTCGTTTACGCCTACAGCGCCTTGCTGCTGGCCCTTGGCCTCTTAGCACTCCTGGGAAATTCCCACCAGCCCTCTTGGAGAATCACTCACCTGGAGGATAGCATCCTCCTCACTTAGCCATTCTGAGCACTGCAGCCTCAAAGATTCTAAGATCCTCAATTTGGCATCCACACAGACATTCCAGTTTTCACATTAGGATAATTATTAAAGAATAAAAAGTAGGGGGGGGAGCAAGCAGAAGGTCAAAACAGAATGCAAAATAAACCAGTAGAAATAAAACCGGATGACTCCTAGCCTATCCACCACACTAGAGTCGTTCTAATTTACTCACAAGTAAGCAGCAAGGATGGGCAGCTCCCCTGGCCATGGGGAGGGAGGAAAGCTGCGGGGGCGTCTCAGCTTTTTAAAGTCTCCCCACACCCACACCCCGGGCAGGTTTAGGTTTGATGAGGCCCTAAGCGACTGAAGGTAACGGGGCCCTTGATATGTCCAGCTGTCCTTTGTCAACAACAAATTGTCCCTGTTTTTTGTGTTGAATATATGCTATATGGTAATTGATGGACCTAATAGGTATCTCAAGCCAATTGCACATAACAAAATATGTATTTTATGAAAGTAATTGTTGAACTGAAATACAATTAAGAAGAAGTATATTAATAGTGAAAGAAGAAGTATACTAATAGTGAAATAATTATTAAGCTCTAACTTAAAATGATTGGGGGCCCATGACTTACACCATAGGAGCCTACACAACACAAAACACTGTTGCTGCCTGTAGGTTTTATTTTATTTGTTTTTTATCTTCTATTTTGGAAATGTACATCCAGTTTCCCCCCCCTAAATTTTTTTTGGGGCCCCCAAGGGAGTGGGGCTCCAAGCCATAGCTTGTTTAGCTTATACATAAATCCGGCACTGTGGGATGCCAGAGCCAGTTGCTCAACACCCTCGTGTTGCTCAGTTAAGAATCTTAAGTTCCCCTTTTGCATTTGAAAAGAACGATGGAAAGATATGGGGGAGCTTGACTTAAAAGATGGGGGGAGGCTTTCTTTGCGCAGGTGACCTCTGGCTAAAGTTCAGCTACCCTGGCTAATAGCCACTGATAGACTTCCCCTCCTCCTTTAATTTGTCTAAGCCCTATTAAAAGCTGATTAGGGCAAGGCTACCATGATATGTTGAGGCAGCTAAACTTCAATGTTTTCTGCACTGTGAGACACACTACTTTTTGGTGGGCGGGGGAAATGTCTGTCCTGAATCTACAGCCCATGAGTAAGTCTGATGCATAAAACCGCTTTTGACTAGGGAGGGGGGAGGGCATCAAATTCAGTTTACATTTAAAAACAGACTTAACTAATCTGCACTTTCTGAAACACTGGGGGGGGGGGAGGACCCTTCAAAATTTCCACTTCCACGAATTTGGCTCAAACGCATGCATTATTTTAAGGGAAACTGATATGCAAATATCTGTATATTGCCTAAAATTGCAATCTGCTGGGTACTAAAATGCTGGTGAATTTTTTGTGAGTACTTGGGGAAATAAAATAAAATCCTCAAACTGATATGGAGAACTGAACTTAAGAGCGGAAAAAGGAGAAATCAAAACTGACACATCACCCAATCCTTACACTGGACAGAATGAAGTCAACTGAAGCAGACTGCTTGCCACTGTGAGCAGGTCAAAGCTCTGTCGTCTTGCATGGAACATTGAACAGCTTTGCGCCCAGCTGTCAATCAGCCAGCCCAGACGATTCCTTCATTTCCCCGCGTGTTTTAACCATCGTACACAATATTACGCAGTGGCGGATGTGACATTTGCCTGGTTTTAAACGAACTGGTGCGTGCAGGTGAGCGATGCCTCCCTATCACCATTGCAAATCCAGCCTTTCCTGGGTTTGGAGGTGACTTTCCAGGTCCTTTTATTTCTCTGCTCCTCACCTGGCAACTTCTGGCCTGTGGAACTCAGCTGGTTGCTGCTGGGCTTGGAAGGGTGTAGAGATACTTGGTTTCAGATGCTGATGTTTCTTCCATGTCCCCCATTTGAGGAGGACCAGGCAGGAGGACCTGGAGGCAAGAGAAGGGTGGGTGGGTAGCAGAGTCTCCACCTTTTCTCTTGTCAGAACAAGGGATGGACCAGGCTGGGGCTCATCCTCAGCCCAAGGAATGGTTCCAGTTTCTGGCTGACCCTCCTTGTCCTTCAGGCATCACCATACGCCCTATAATTGGTCACAGTTCTGCCTGCATCTTGTGGGTCAAACTCCAGCAGGGAAGAGAGCTTTTATTGTGTGTTTGAGCAGCCCCTGAAGAGGGAAGGAATATCAGGGAGTGCAGGAAAAGACATCTCTTTCCCCTGGGTTTTTCCCTTGATAGAAAATGCTGGTGCCAAGGGTACAGAGTAGATCTCAAGGGGATCAGGGAATAGCAGTGTTCAAATGAGGCTCTCAGGGAGGAGGGATGGAGGAAATCAATTCAATCTGCATTTGATTCACACTTTCCAAGAAACAGTACGAAGATCAAAACACAGCCAGCATTTCGAATTTGTAATTCTCCGGATCATACAGGGCAGATATCCAGCACATGTCATATTTGCAGAACTATACGGGCGAAGGTAAAATATGGAGAAAGGGTTGCATTTGAAGGGGAAATGGTGTTTCAAAGAATGAACATGTCAAGCAAGGCTGCATACAAAAAGGTGTGTGTGTCAGGAGAACTTTGCACTAAGAAGCTGATGAATCTTGGGGAAGACTTAACAAAATAAAGAAAACAGAAAAAGACGTGGGAATGTGGATCCCTGAAATTAAAAGAACTTAACTGTGGAAGAATGGGAATTTTTTACATATTGTTCTCAGGGGACTAAACTAAGAAAAGAGGACACAACAAGAACAATTGTTTTTAATGTTTGGTGCTTTATTGTGTTTTATATATTCTGTAAGCGGCCCGAGTGGCTGGGGCAACCCAGCCAGATGGGCGGGGTATAAATATATTATTACTATATTTTTTTTAATAAATTTTTATTAATTTTCCAAACACATAATAAAAACAAACAATACACAATACACAAACATACCAACATATAAACATGTATAATTTCATAATCTTATTTTCATACACCTTACTTCCCGGACTTCCCCATACCTCCCCTTTTCTGCATCCTTGTTTTACATTTCTTCAGCAACTCCTCCAATTAACTAATTATTCAATTCAATTTCATTTAAGTTCTTTTTTTAACTTATTGATTACAGCTGCAATTCTCTATTTCCTAATTCCTTGACATCTTAACACTCCTCAATTTTACAACAAT